CCCCCCGTTTTTCTTAAAGCAATTTAAACTTTCTTTTTGGAAATTAGGCCAGTGATTTCCCCCCTAACAGAGGGAAGCTGTAGGCATCAATTTTGGAAGTCCATTCTGCAGCATACCCTTCCAGGCTTACTAAGTGAGAAGCTCTTTATGTTAATACAGCCTGAAAAAATGCCAGCCCTTGTTAAGCAGCGAGTAAATGATATGATTTTAAGAGGCTTTTGAAAGACACAGTCTTGAAAGTGTCTGCCAACAGCATTTGTCTATCTTACAATCTAATGAATTTTTCCTCTATGTAAACAGAAAACCAAGTATGTTTATGTTCATGGTTGCTGATGTTTTCCTTTCATTACCATTTCTGTTAAATGTAATAAGTAAATGAGAAACAGTTTAATATCCAATAAGCCTGGCAACTGTAATATTTCCGAAGTAGTTAACATAATTGCCTGCTGATAGCAACTATTGCTAGGATTGTATGTTTTAAAGCAGGTTGTTAAACCTGAAAGGGAACTCAGGTGATACAGTCCAATCACAGGCCACTCTTCCATGAGCAAAAACTGGTTCCTGAAAGCTGTTACTTTTGTTTTCTGCATCTCTTCTGATTTGCTGAACTTTTTGAATTTTCATGGTTGCTTTCAGTCTGATATGCAGGCTTTGACATCAAATAATGGAAATGTGTGCAATGCCAAAACTTAGGCTCTGGCATAGTCCAAACATCCAGGTTGTGTGCTGAAGCACGCTTCTGAAATACTTTTCTCTTACCATTCGTGCTCCTCTCTAAATGAGCAGACCAGCTGATGGATCTCTGTAGTAACTGGTAGGCCCCGATCTTAATCTTCCCTCCCAGCATCTGAATATCAATCTTTTGTGTTGTGTGGGATTTATTTGTGAAACAAGATTGAGATCATGCTCAGCTTCAAAATCAGTTTCCAAAATCTTACTGAATGAATGTGAACAAGTTTGGATGCTTGATAGCCTTAAAATGACTTTAAAGATTTATTATCTGTAAAATACAACGCAAAATTACAATACAAAAATAAGTTCCAAAACTTGATTCTTGAAAGATGTAGGTATCTTGAACTTTTGTTAGGTTTCAACGCATGCTGTTCTTGCCTGTTCAAGGCTCTAGAAGTATTCTAGGTGCTTGGAATAAATAATGAAATGCATTCTGCTACTAGAGATGGGTTTTTGAGACGAGGAATTTGATGAATTTCTATTGCATTTATCTCTGGGAACTATAAATATTCATAGTCAGTGTACTGAACAAAAGCCTTTACTTTGAGGGGGGTAAGTACATGTGTGTCTATAGAGTGTAGACTTACATTTATAAGACAAAATGTCTTGGTTATTTGTGTTCTGCCCTGTTTGGTGTAAACTTCAGAAGCTCATTACTATTTTAGTTGCTGTTAGAATATAGATAACCTCACTGCGTATGATTCATGGAATGGTCATAATTGATAAGGGCTGTCTTGCTGTTTTGACATCCTGTTAGGTGGTAGTTCTAGGTATTTGTAAATACTTTAAAGTAAAAACAGTTACGGAATTCAAGATTAGATTATTTCAGTATTGTTTTTTTAAATTGATTCTGGTCTGGTTTAACGCCGGATTTATACGTACTCATGCCTCTTGCACACATCCCGTCCAGGCTACTCCTAATTCCATATCTCCTGTCTTCGAGGTGCGTCAGCGTCTTCAGTTACATGTGCAGTAAGCCTGTAGCCTAGCATTAGTATATCAGCTCCTAACACTGCCTGTGCACGAGTGGCAGCAGCAGTGGCATGTCCTGACACAAGCAGAGGCAGCAGCTTAATTCTGCCCTGCTTTTTACACAAGAGGCTTGTATTTGGAAGCCACTTTAAACTCTGTTGCTCTTACGACTCAACATGAAGCAATAAATTAAATTATGTTTTGCTAGTTTAAACTAAATTCTCGTGCGTCTTTACTACCCCTTCTGTGTTTGTTCTTTCTTTCCATCCTTCCTGTCTCTCTCTCTCTTTTTTTTTTTTTAATGTTTCTCCTAAAAATCACATTTACTCTTTTGTTATGTGGATTACCATGATTCTGGACCCAAGCTTTCCAGGCTTTCTGACCTAGGCTCTTTTGTTTCTTTTCATTCTTGCTATTTTCTCCTTTACAAAAGGAGGTTATTCTTAAAAGCTTTTTCGTATGGATATTTGAACAGACTTGCTTTTCTGCTCGGGCTGCTCAAGAACATTCAGGGTAAAAAGCTATATAGGACTTCTCACTGTGTTTGAAAGTCTAGTTTGGCTTTAGTAACTTGCTATTACTTGATTTTAAAATGTTTATTAGCTTGTTGCTCAACTTGTGATTTCAGCAGGGTTAGTCATCAGTTAGAATTCTCAAGACAGGCAAACAGGTGTATCTGGTAAGATGAGCATGAGTGGGAAAGCTTGCTCCTAAATATAGCAGTAAAAACCTATAGTAATATCTGTCAGCCGTTGCGTGGATCATCACACACACGAACATCTTCAGGCCCTTTTTCCTGAAGTAAAAAAACAACAAAGCTCCAAAGTCAAATTACATCTCCAATGCCTAATTAGTCTGGGATGTGGTAGTCGTTGTAACTGCTGGTCCCATTAAACATATCAACTTGCAGACGACATTGCGCCTGGTTCAGTGAGTCTCTGGCCAGGCTGAGATTATACAGTGTAGGTTCTTACCATAGCGAGATACCAAACTCAACTCCACTTCTGTGTGTCAGTGAAGGTAGGAGGGGTGTGGGCTGTTAGGGTGCACCAAGACTGACTGGAAAGTAGTACAAAATGCTCTTTACTACGTATGTAAAATGTTGTTGCCAAAGTAAAGAGGGTGGAAAAAATTAATTATGTCTGTGTGAAAATTGTGTTACAAGACTGGAATTCTTCTCTGAGAGAAGAGACTAGCGAAGAATGTGATTATAGGCACAGCTGATGATACTGATGCTCTAATTTTCCTTTCATGACCTGTTAATAAGGCCTATCTTCAGTTGTGTTATTGCCAAAGCTTTGCCATTTGGACTGAAATTTTTCACAGTAGCTCTCTGCTTCAGAGTAACTTTGAGCAATGAAGAGGAAGGAAGGAAGGAAGAATAAGAGGATATTGGCTCAAGAATGGATCAGCTGTATATCCAAGAATAGAACTGTTTGAGGAGGGAGGGAAAAGAACAAAAAAGGAAGGGTGGATGGAAGTCTTACAGTGTATTTGTACTTAGCAGTTCCTCTTTACAACAAGGACTTAACATTTAGCAATGGATCACCTGGTATGCAAAGTGTGATTTCTGAAGCCTGTGATAATGTGTCCAGATTTGACCATGACCTGGTCTTGAAGTGTTTTCAATCTTAAGACTGTACTGCGCGTGTGAGTTTAGTACCTCTTACATTCTTTAAATAGTTGATCTGTATCAAGTATGCTTCATCCTAGGGCTTAGCAGTAACTGCTTGTCTGCAATTTTTTCTTATTGTTACTGGGTGCAGGTATTAAAATGAGAACAAGAAGACCTTCTTGCAGGCTTGTTTATCTGGTTATTTTATTTTTGTGCTTGTTCCTAGGAAGCTTGGTGTGAAGCAGGGAAGTTGATGTGTAAGAGAAACTGAAGTAGAGCTGGCACAGATATTGGAGAGGAAGGGGATGGGGAGGTATAAGTAATGGATAAGAACAGAGGACCCGTATGGACAATGACTGGACCAGAAAGAATAAGTCTGCTGCTTCTACCTATTACTGTATTTGTATATGTAATAATTCTGTGCTATTCTAATCTAAACTTTGGATTCTGCTAATGCTGCAAAATGGAAGTGGTCCCATTCCATGATGTCTACTCCCCAAAAAACACTTTGTGGGAGAAATGCCATGATTTGAGCAATAAGTTAAATAAAGTGTGTAGCCACACAGTAGATGTTTAATTCTGGCTTTCCCTTACCTTTCAGTGATATTTTAGCACACTCAATATCTGTCATGTTTCTTTCTTTTTAAGGGTAATAATGAAGGTGGTGGGAAGGGACAAGCAGGGCAACGAAAATGGATATTTAGTGTTTCAAAGAAAAAATACGTAAAACTGGAAAACTGTAAAATCTAACTAATGAAGAATTAGTGTTTTTCACACTCATATACCTGGCATGGTAAGGCAACGCGCAAAGTTAACAAAACTTAACGCATCTGGTGGAAGGACACTTCTTAAAGAGTATGTCATATAGAATGGAGGATGTTGTAGTGCTAGCAATGAAATGTCTGCTCATCTTAGAAACAAGAAGGGCAGAGAATATGCAATTGTGGCTCATGAAAGTACTGTAAATCTGCGTATCTTGTACCTGCTTTCCAATAGAGTCTTCATTGCACAAAAAATTTTATGAAGTGACACATTTCATCTCTAGTAATAGAAAAGCACAGTTCCCTTTCTAGATTGACTGCATTTTTTCTAGAAACTTTTTCTAACCAATTTACTTTCTGCTTCTATATTTTCATAGGCTTAGTGAGGTGATGATCATATGAAAACAGTTGTAAAAATCTGTTCTGTTCCTGGGTTGTGGTATTTTTATTAATATAAATATTCCTTGCCTCCTTCAGCTTCATGTTGAACATGAGCCTTGTTATGATTAGCGAGAATGTAAAGCTGGCCCGTGAATATGCTTTACTGGGAAACTATGATTCTGCAATGGTCTATTACCAGGGAGTTCTTGACCAAATGAATAAATACCTCTACTCTGTCAGAGATACGTATCTACAACAGAAATGGCAACAGGTAAATAATCCTTTTCTGGGACACTTTGAGGGGAAAGTCTTAAACTATCAAAATGTGCTTAGTTCATGGCGACCGGAACAATATCTTCACAGTTCTCTGATAAACAAGTCTATATAGTAATGCTACAGTTTAAGTGTGCATTGAGATTTCTTGCTCTGACACTGGCAAAATAGGCAATGGAACACAGCTCGGGAGGCGGGAGGGCGGGCAGGCAGTGCATAGTCTGTTTTCTCAGTTTCTTGCTGATGAATGCGCCTGTTATGTTACAGTTTTAGGCTGGTGTTATCTTGAATGGTCTTACTTCTCTCTCAGTATTTCAATAGCGTGACTTATAGATCCTTAGCAGAAGCTGAGTTATGGCTACTGTGTTAGTTTAACCATAACACAAAATGGCATTTTTTCACTGCTCTTCAGTCCATTAGGTTGTACTTGCTTAATAAGCAAAAACTACCAGAGCACTCTGTGTCTCTGGTATTAAATCTGTTTGCTCTTTAAATGTACTGAGGAAGACAGAAAAATGTTCTTGATATCTAATGTGCGTTATTCATGTTTAGTGCAGTAGATTAGGCTAGCTCGTGAAATGTTGTGGAATCCAGCCAGAAATCACATAGGCTTTGAAAAGACTGTTACAAACTTATTTGCAATATACTTAATCTACTGTTTATTTTCTTATCAGGTTTGGCAGGAGATAAGTGTGGAAGCTAAGCACGTGAAAGATATAATGAAAACACTAGAGAGTTTTAAGCTAGACAGTACTCCGTTGAAAGCTTCGCAACAAGAATTACC